CGCTTGCTAAATATATTACTGGACCTATCCGGCTCAGATGACATTGCTTAATTTAGACGAGCTGTGTTGCTATTATTTTTAACGTTTTTAAAAGGGGGAGGGGGTAGATTATCATAAGAAGGGCTTCAAAGAGACCTCCTTAACCACATTTAGGTGTTAATTATTTATATAAATATATATATATATATAAATATATATATATATATATATATATATATATATATATATATATATATATATATATATATATATATATATATATATATATATATATGTGTGTGTGTGTGTGTGTATATATATATACGTGTATATATATATATATATATATATATATATATATATATATATGTGTGTGTGTGTGTGTGTGTGTGTGTATATATACGTGTATATATATATATATATATATATATATATATATATATATATATATATATATATATATATATATATATATATATATATATATATATATATATATATATATATATATATACTGAGAGGGAAAAAGTGAGAGAGAGGACAACGACGATAGGTCTGGCAAGAAAAAAATATTCTTAGATGTCCAGAAGTAAAGCTCTGACTGGATGTCAACACTAGCGTCATATGTCCTGTACTCTACATCCTACACCACACGCCATACACGTTATGTTGGATGTCAACACTAGCGACATATGTCATGTACCCTACATCCTACACCACACGCCATACACGCTATGTTGGATGTCAACACTAGCGTCATATGTGTCATATGTCATGTACTCCACATCCTACACCACACGCCATACACGCTATGTTGAATGTCAACACTAGCGACATATGTCCTGTACACAACACCCTACATCACACACCATACACGTTATGTGGCAACCAGTCCCATCCACACATACATCCACAGCTACCAAAACTACATGAATTCTCACATTCAAATGCGGAATCGAACCCACGCTCACCAAAAATACCATCTAACTATCTTTAATCACTTTCTACTCTCTATTCATCTGTACCTAATGTAATAGTAATGTATGCCAAATACAAACTAATTACGTCATAATCAAATGCGTCATTGCGCGGACCGTACCCCAGCCGAGAGAACATTCTGGAAGTGATCGATCCCCCACCGTCAGTACTGACCGATACTGGAGATAAATATTGATAGATATTTTCTCACGGCTGGCTGATTGATTTGATTTCACGCGGCATGCTCTGCTGGTGTTGCTACGTGGAACTCTTATCTTAATCAAATGGATTTATAACGACGCCTTCTGCTTCATTGTCAAACCATGGTCCAACATACACAAAAAGTTGCTCCATTTGTTTAGAAATCTATAAATTTGAACTAAAACCACTCAAGTGAGAGCGGGAGGGGGGGTCTTCCTTATATACTCATAGCAGTCGCGTCTAAGGAATACTTTCTAAAAACTAAATTAAGGCACATAGTTTTAAACAGATTTTAAACATTTAATATAAACAGTTTATATTAATTTTTTTTTAGTTTTCCATACAGTTTCGAATGTCTAATTATTCTATGAACATTAGAATAAAATACTTGACTTACTCCACTAATACTCATCAGTACTGGAATAATACTCCTGTAATAAACATACTGCAGCCATACTGTAACATACTGCAGCCATACTGTAACATACTGCAGCCATAATGTAAAATTACTGCAACGATACTGTAACATACTGCAGCCATACTGTAACATACTGCAGCCATAATGTAAAATTACTGCAACGATACTGTAACATACTGCAGCCATACTGTCATATAGTGCAGACATTCTCTCATATACTGCAGACATTCTGTCATATACTGCAGACATTCTGTCATATACTGCAGACATTCTGTCATATACTGCAGACATTCTGTCATATACTGCAGACACTCTGTCATATATTGCATACATTCTGTCATATATTGCAGACATATTGCACAGCACTGTACCGCGGTACCATACACAATACCGTACCACAGTACCTGACACAACAACGTACCCCACTACAATGCCCACAAAACGTACTTACCTGCCAACAACTCCGTGTTAAAATCGCACCACCTGACCTGGTTGGCTCAGTACACCATCAGCTACCCAATAATGGCCTCATCTGTTAGGGTAGCGCCATTCATTCCGCCCGGCTTCTTCGAGCGTGACTGCTGAAGTCCTTGAAGCGTGACCAACTGTGAAATGATAAATCTCCAGGCTGACTGGGTTCCAGACTATCAGTTTCAGCCACTGGCTAAAAGTCGGTTAAACGCTTCCCTACATTCCACTGTATTAAGCGCTTCCCTACATTCCACTGTATTAAACGCATCCATACACTCCATTAAAGCCTGCACCACGCATCTTACACTCCATTTTATTACACGCTCCTGTACACTCTGCCAAGCCCCGGCCCACGCCACCCAAAACTCTACTTCACTCCTCAATACACCCCCACTCTACCACACGCCTCCAATTACTCTAATCTACCCCCTCCCTTCTTTCCACTCTACCACACTCCTCCCTACACTACACTACACCACACTCCACCCAACTTTCCACTCCACCCCACGCCTCCCAACACTCTACTCCACCCCACACAGCATTGGCCTGTTTCACCCATGACTACTAACTGCTTGTATTTGCAGTCAGTGAGTTGTAGCTTCCTGTGTATCCAACAGTATCACTAATGCTTTCATTTACACCAAACAATTTCTATCACTAATACCCTCATTTACGCCACAAAAATTTCTATCACTAATGATTGACTGCGGTACTTGGGCACTGAAAGTCTGATTTTCTGAGGTACTTGAGCACTGAAAGTCTGACTGACTGCTGTACTGAAAGTCTGATTGAGTGCCAGGGACCTTGAACAAGCCCAGTATGGCGCATGTCTTAGTACAAAAAAAATGGTAGTGTCTTGTGGTGCTGGGACGAGCGGTCGCCCAGAAAACCATCGGGATTTCCCACAGGGGATGATGTCAGTGCTAATTATAGCTCTACTGACGTCCGGTATCTTAGTATGGGGACTGGGAAAGTTAACAAAATGAGGTTAACAGTTTCCCACAGTTTTTAGATAGTTTAAACAAAAATGTAACCGGTAAACCAGTCTTCACAGTGAGAACTTGGTGACACAACCTCTTAAAGCAGGAGTCGTTAGGTAACAAACGCTTGAGTAAGTGGTAAGTAGAGTGGTAAGCATGGCCTTGACCTACTCATCCAATGGGTCTGTAAAGAAAAACTAATCAGGGGGTTACTTTCAGACATTTTTTTGCTAAATGGGGGCACATTAATCTTTCTGTGGGGGGTGGGGGGATTCATTGGGTTAGTTAGTAATTGTTTATAAATGACTTCACGTATTTGTACGGATGGATCTTGTACAGATATCTTGTTTTACTTTTTTTAATGAAATGTTCATTTTTTAATTTTAACTAAAGTTCAAATACAGATCTTTCGCAAGCTCTAAAAAAGGGTTCTTTCAGACATTTTTTCCCTGGCGCCAGGGGACACTTTAAACTTCAGGGGGGGGGGCGAAACTTCAAACTTTAGGGGGGGGGGATTTGAAACTTCCGGAGTTTTGGATAATGGTTAAGTTTTTTTCTTGAATTTAATATTTTTTTTCTATTTTGCCCAACGAAATTGCCCAGGGGGCAGCCCCACTTATCTCAAAGAGATTCCTGGAAGAAACCTTATACTGGAGCTATGTATTAACTGTATGGGGTGGAGATGGGGGCGCTACATTATAAACCAAAAACACAACATTGTGACCGTTTATTTCCCCTGAGGGCCGATTGGGGGCTGTTTATGACGGCTATCAGGCCGATCTAATATAAACACATCACGTGATCTAACACGTCAGGGTTCCAGGCCACGTGACCACAGTGGCTCACTGGACGTCCGATGTTAGAGGGGGGGGGGCGTCATAAAGTAACGATCGTTTCTTAGACGAATCTAGGTCATGGTATGTCGGCGATCAGAGGTCACCGACCTCTTGGTCAGTTTACTGGACCGTGGTTTAAAGATGGGGGATTTTCTTACGGTCATTTAGCAGACGGCGGTGTCAAATTTGGCACATTCTCCAGTTGTCTTTTCTTGACTCATATAGCAGGAGATTTCTACTCATCGTTACCTGAAAAACTCAATCGTTTTTGGATATGTTGATAATTATTAACATTTATAAAAATAATTACTTCATGTTTTGTTAAAATTTTTAATGTTTTCCTTTATTGTTAAAAATACTTATTCTAAATGTTTGTTTTTGTTGTGTTAAAACGTCATGATTTTTTTTCTAAATTGTTAACATTTTCGTTCCTGCACCAACTTTGTATAATAAAAATCAATAATCTCTACTCCTAAATATTCTAAAACTCATTGATTTCCTGCATTTTTAACATTTGGAAACTGATTTTGTTTGTATATATCTACGACATTCTGGCTAATGTTTGTACTGACCTACGACCGTCTGGCTAATGTTTGTACTGACCTACGACATTCTGGCTAATGTTTGTACTGACCTACGACCGTCTGGCTAATGTTTGTACTGACCTACGACCGTCTGGCTAATGTTTGTCCTGACCTACGACCATCTGGCTAATGTTTGTCCTACGACCGTCTGGCTAATGTTTGTCCTGACCTACGACCGTCTGGCTAATGTTTGTCCTGACCTACGACCGTCTGGCTAATGTTTGTACTGACCTACGACATTCTGGCTAATGTTTGTACTGACCTACGACCGTCTGGCTAATGTTTGTACTGACCTACGACCGTCTGGCTAATGTTTGTCCTGACCTACGACCATCTGGCTAATGTTTGTCCTACGACCGTCTGGCTAATGTTTGTCCTGACCTACGACCGTCTGGCTAATGTTTGTCCTGACCTACGACCGTCTGGCTAATGTTTGTCCTGACCTACGACCGTCTGGCTAATGTTTGTCCTGACCTACGACCGCCCGGCTAATGTTTGTCCTGACCTACGACCGCCCGGCTAATGTTTGTCCTGATTGTCCTCTCTTCCCCAGGTGTCTTGGGCCCGGATCTACGATGCAGAAAACAGAACTATCTTGACCATTGGGGCAACGCTGTGGACAGAGGACATCAACCTGTCCATTGATCATTCCAAGTAGGTAACGGGCGGGGGGGGGATATACAATGTGGTGGGGGAATGGGGAGTGGAAGTAGGGAATAGATTGGGGGGGGGTAAATATACAATGTTGTGGGGGATGATGATTTGAAGTAGAAAATGGAGAGTTGAAGTAGGGAATATGGGGTGGAATTGGCATTATGGAGAGGGGAGTGGTAAAACCTGCTGTGTAACAGTCCGCTTTCAGGCGATTCATGAAGTAGGTGAGGTAGAGTTCACCTTTTTCTCTGATGGCTTGGTCAGCATTATACCTTTTCTGTCCCCCAATTTCAACCAGTTACTTGCCATAGCTAGTGATGTACTCTTTACTTCATTTCATTTTTTACACTACTAATTCGCAGCTAGGTAATTAAAAACTCAACGCCATTTTTTAAAATAATGTAAACGGAACAAACACCAATGAAAGGGGACTCGATTTGAATGTTTGTTTCGTATTTAAAATTAGTTAAAAGCAAAACATATATCGACTAGGAAGTACAACTATATTTTATTAATCTTTTAGTACATACATCAGATTTCCAATAAAAACCAACCCGTTTCATAATTTAGGTCAATGGTCATGCGCAGTGAATGTTTTATTTGTTTCTTCCGTCAGGAACTCAAACCACGTGACCCAGTGGAACCTGGTCATCAAGCACGTGGCGCCGAGGAACGCTGGGACCTACGAGTGCCAGGTCACATCCAAGTTCATCATCAAACGTTACGTCACGCTCCACGTAGGTGAGTACCGTCACGTGACGCGTGTCCGTGGTTGTTCACCTGTACTCACGCACGCCCGGCGCTGCTGTGTACAGAGATAGAGACTCCCACCAACCTCTAAAACACAATGTCCTGGCTCGTCTTTTACCAACAGTTTAGATTATATGAGATACCGCTGTGTCAGAGAAAATAAAGGTTTATATTTCTATTCATTAATTTTAAATTATTTTTTTTTAAAAGGTAAAGATTAATTTGGATCAGGGCTATGGGCAAGGTCAAGATTTAGATTAAGATTAGGCCTAGAGTTAAGTTATCACTAGCTTACATCTATTTATTAAGGATAACAGACGAAGTAATAGTTTTAATGTCGTAAAATGTGCATGTTCAATTTTTAAAACCCCGTATATTGTCTATATTACATGGTATATTGCTATACAAAAAACGTATACCGTCAATATTACTATTACAAGATATATTGCTATACGAATAAACGAATGACATTATTGCTACACAGTTAACGTATACCGTCAATATTACACGATGTATTATTACACATTACAATCTTCGTATTGTTAATATCATACGATTGTTGCTGTACATTTAACATCCTCGTATATCCTCCATATTACGTAACACACTGCAACACATTTAAAAGATCAGAACAACTGCGGCTCCACAGCATGACTCAGGCCATAGTTAATATCATAAAGCCAACGGCACATTGACCCTCCATTACCCGTTTCCTAATTACGTGCATTTACATACTAAATAGAAGCGCATTCGACGCGTTCCATCCGCAGCCAGCCCCACCTTCTGACATGCCACATACCGGAACTCATAGACCATTAGGGGGTTTCATTATCGGCCCACGGCTGTTTGCAGTTGCCCCCCACCCCAGAAACTTCGCGGGCACGGCCTCGTTTTCATCAAAGCCTCAGTCACAGGTCATTTCCGGTGGATGAATGATTTGTCCGGCTTTGCATTTAAACAAAGTGGGCTAGCGTCGGGCCCATGATTAATAATCACCAGTGGCCACTGAAGATTTGATTAGTTCCGACTCATATTGTTGAGAATTAGCTTTGGTATTAAGAATAAATTATACGCTCTGTCCCTCATAAGCAGACTTGCATTTGACATTCAATACTTTTGTCCCCTGCTTGGTGCGCACCAACCGCACCAAACCGCACCATGCCTTGTAGTTTTCACAGTGCCGAGATACAGCCCAGACCTCCATCCTAAATCTCTCTCTCTATCTCTGTTATCAGCAGTCGCAGGGACCTGTCCCACATATTTTTGTAGAGTTATCATATCACATAATCAATGTTTTTAAAGCTTTTTAATTACATTTATGAAATGTAATATAAAACATTAACCTTTGATCAATATTGAATATTTTTTTTATTAAATGGATTATAATCGTATTAATATTTTTCTCGTTATTTCTGTGTTTTGTGTAATAACTTTCTTTTAAAATATTTAAGATGGCATGATCTTTTTAACCTAATCATTTTAACATTGATAAAAAAAAATGTGGGTTTTTTTTTTAACTCTTATTCAGATTATTCAGTCTCTAAAATTTAATCTCCATATTTTTTTCCTCTATTTTTTTATTCGTATTCACTAAACTCTTCATGCCAGTATTCTATTCACATTTTTATAAATTCTTTTTGTTTGAATTCTAGGACCACCAATAGCCAAACCAGGTACGGGTTATATTTTCCTTCTATTGTTACTTTTGTGTGCTGTTGTCTCCCTTTTGTTCTCTAGCCAAAAAATAACATGACTGTTACTAATCTAGCAAGTTTGACTTAACATTTCTCAAACTTGTTATTTTCTTGTTAGCTAATTTCAGTAAAACTTATCTCATTATTTAGTGCATATTTATAGTATAGGCCCTATTTAGAAAATGAACACATTTAAAATATTACTCAAAAAAAAATTAATTGTTTGGCCCGGACATATTGCCGTTACCTTTCGCTTGAACTGCATTTGTGTGTTAATAATTTATTGTAACTCAACAGTAATATTAGATAACATTAACTAAATTGAGTACACTGTACATATTTTACAGAATCTAAATTTGCATCATTTTAAAACTAAGACACAAATCAAGCAGTAACATTGTTAAAAAAATGTCTGTAACTGATTTACAAATTACTCGACCATTTGTTTATTGGGGAAAATGTCCTTACTTTGAACATCTCGTGTTGAATTGTTTAAAAGTTGGATTTTTTTAAAAACTGAAACAAAAGTACAATCTGCTTGTGCGACGCTAGAGGACAAAATACTGACAAAAACGGGATATTTTTAAGATGTTAACACTATGATTAAAAAATGCGGTTGATTTAATTTAAATGGGAAAAAATAATGTATCTAAGAAAGACCAAGATGACAGTTGTTGTTTAATTAATTTTTAATTAGTTTTCAAGACCAGATGTGTATGAGCATGCTGTCTAACTTGTTTATGATTTCATGAAACAATTAGCTGGACCAGTGAATGTCGTTAATTTATTAAGGCATGCCAAATATCCTGGTTAATGAATGATATGTACAAAGGAATAGCATGTGCCTTGTTCAATGAATGACATGTACGAAGGAATAACATGTGCCTTGTTCAATGAATGACATGTACAAAGGAATAGCATGTGCCTTGTTCAATGAATGACATGTACGAAGGAATAACATGTGCCTTGTTCAATGAATGACATGTACGAAGGAATAACATGTGCCTTGTTCAATGAATGACATGTTTTGCATGTGTAAAATGTCACTCGGCTCATTGTTGACATCTGTTTGTAGGTGGATATATGAACATGCATGTGTCAAGCATTTGAGGTTGCACGCGCATACACACACACACACACACACACACACATATATATATATATATATATATGTGTGTGTGTGTGTGTGTATGTGTGTGTGTGTGTGTGTGTGTGTGGATGTGCGGATGTGCGTACGTGCGTGCGAGTGTGTGTATGACTGTGTGCGTGTTTGTAACACTCGATTAATAATACAACTCAGTGTGTATCTAAAATTATATATTTAGAAATGTAATCTAACAAGTCTCTCCTTTCCAACCCTGGTACCCCCCCCCCCCCCCTATCCCAGTCCTGACCAGTTGACAGGGATAGCGCCAATATCCCAACCCCAGGCCCCACAATTGAAGAATGTTTCTCGCAGCTGACAATATAAGTCCGACCATAATTATATCTCGCTTTAGTGTATGCTTTGAATTTTATAATTTTTTTCTCTTTCGATCTGATCAATATTTTGAAAAGACTCATGGCTTGAACAAGATAAACAAGTTTTAGCACTAGAAGTGAACAGCCGCACCATTTTGGTTACCACACCATTCTAAACACGGCGCGCAATCTCCGTGCGCAATCTTGGCAGTATAACAACACTGTCATGTCTGGCGTTAGCTCCCTCGTTTCTATCCCTAATCCCAGACCCTTTGTAGTCCAACTACGTGAGGAGATTATTCACCCCGCAGTCTCTGCTCTTGACATCCCATAATTTTTTTTATTCTAATCACGTTGTTTAGGATTACAAGATAATCTTGTCCTTGGCAGAAAAGCCTTCACTTTTCTGTCCTTGCGGGCATTTCTACGTCTGCAGTAGAATGTACAAAATAATCGAGAAAATTCGATATAGAAGGACATCAGCTAGGGGGCTCAAAATACTAACGATTGTATATATATATATATATATATATATATATATATATATATATATATATATATATATATATATATATATATATATATATATATATATATATATATATATATATCCCACAGAACCGGACTGTTCCATTTTTCAAAATGTGTTTATTAGGGTTGAAAATGTTGTTTTTAATTAACATTTCTTTATTAAGAAACTGGTGACATTTTAAAATTAAATTATTGTCAAATAAAAATAAGAGATCTAGCAATTTTTTCACCATATTATGTACGTGGATTAACGATAAAATGCATTGTGAAAAAAAAAGAAAAACGGAGTTATAACCATCTGATTCTGATGGAGCGCTATATTGTGACCGAAAAGATGCGCAATGAAAAATTGCGCCACGAAAAACTGCGCACAAAAAAAAATGCGCTAGGGCTTTTTATTAAGCAAAGAATGACCATATGTACATTGTAGCTTAATAAAAATATTTCCATAAAATATGACAAATTTTAAGTATATTGGTTTAATTAGTTTTTATTTGCGCATTTTTCTATTTGCGGAGTTTTCGGTTGCGCAGTTCTCCGTTTGCACATTTTTCTGTGAACCGCTCTATATATATATATTCGTTTTTGAATCTCTTTTGAAGTTCCAAAAACAATAAACGGATTTTTAAATCATGTTTTCGGTAATTGACTGAACGGATCTTACACCGCTCTCTTCATCTGGGATCAAAGAAATCCAGATTCGTGTTTGGTTGTTTTTCCACGGCGGTCCCCTGCCCGCTGACCGCCCTCTGATGACGCCTGTGGCCCACACGTTCGCTGGAAACTTAAGCTCAGCTCCTCTTTAGCGCGCGTGCCGTGCGCCCGTTTTAGTGAGAGCTGAGGAACGTGAGGGTTGAAAGAAGCAGTACAGGCGGCTGGGGGGGGGATTCTATGTGGGCTGGTTAATGTTCATTTATTTTGACTTCCTTTCTGAGGGTATAGAGCTTCCGCGAAAGATGAAAAAATGAGATGTTATCTTTAAATGGGTGTGGAAGTTGCGGCTCTGTTACTGGCTATGGCTAGGTTTAATGTTAAATAATTAATTGTTCGAGGCTTTTGGGATAATTGCTGGAAATTGAGAAACTATTTTAGTAATATAATCCTGCGTCGTTAGGCCAACACTATGAATATTTCGAAATTCAAAAGTCTATTCATATTATGGAACTGTTGTTTGTGATGGGAAAATGTTCAGGTCTAAAACGCCAAAAGTAGTCTAGGACAGTAGCGTCGGTTAGTTGTTAAGGGGGTTAGAAGCCCCCCCCCCCCCTTTCTTAACGGACTCCCAAAATAACAGCTGTTATGCCTGCCTTTGCGGGTCTAAGATAATCGACACCTTTAGAAAATTTCTACAAATTTTGAGGTTTTCTACAACTTAAGTATTAAACAATTTTAGAAGTATTAAACAATTTTAGAAATATTAGACAATCATAAACGTATTAAACGATTTTAGAAGTATTAGACAAGTTTAGAAGTATTAGACAACTTTAGAAGTATTAGACAACTTTAGAAGTATTAGACAACTTTTAGAAGAATTAGACAAATTTAGAAGTATTAGACAAATTTTAGAAGTATTAGACACGTTTAGAAGTATTAGACAACTTTAGAAGTATTAGACAACTTTAGAAGTATTAAACAACTTTTAGAAGTATTAGAAAACTTTTAGAAGTATTAGACAAATTTTAGAAGTATTAGGCAACTTTTAGAAGTTTTAGACACCTTTAAAATCTAACACAGTTACGGACACAATTTGTTTTTACCATGTACGGTTTTGCCTGAATTTAATTGGTACAGTAAAAAAATGTGCTTCTGTATTTTAAATAATCGATCGCTTCATTAAGTTAAGTTATAAAGCTTTAAACGGCTATACAACTAAAGGGTTTCAACTAGAGCATACTTAGCCCTACCCCCACACACACTCTTTTACCTACCATTCTGGAGTGTAAATTGTAGAAACGTCTCCACCAATCGGTTTCACTTTAGCTTGTTTTAACTGGTTTTTGCCTGGTTTATGTAGTGTATAGCCAGTTTCTGAACATACATTTAAGTGAGGCAGAAAATATACCGTACAAACTTTGCTTAGTTGTCATTGAAGTGGAATCTATCTCATGTGCCTGGAGATCAATGAAAGTCACTGAAAAAAAATGTTACCGGATACTTAAATTTAGCACAAAAAACAACTAAGCTACTGACCAACTTTCTGGTAAAAAAAAATTGAACAAAAGGCTTTGTGGCCAGATTTTTATGACTTTCTCACCTGCAGTGAAGCTTGCCAATTTGGTTAATTATCCCCGTTATTTGGGTGTATCAAAATATTAACTCCCCCGTGAACCGACGCCCCCTCGCTCGAGAGGTTTTGTCGAGGCTTCTTAGATTTTAGAAAAATAAAGCTGAGATACTTGCAGGAAAAATATACAGGTCATTACCAATGTAATTATCTTTTTAAAATCTTCTTTTAAACAAACATTTGCATGTTTTTATCTACAATTATGTCATTAACAACTCTATTTTAAGCAGAAATAATATTGTTAGATCTTAGGATTTTTTTTGTATGATTTTTTTTATGAACTCGGTAACTAGTCATAAAATGTTCAAAGTCTTTCTCTCTAGACATTAATCAACATCGTTGGGAATCAGCGTTTCGGGGAGTCTAGTTCTATTTTTTTATCGTAGTTACCGTTCTTGTGTTACCTGAAAAAGTGGTATCAAAGACAGCCAGTGATTAATTAGTGAAGTGCTCCGCGTGGGATGGGTTGCCTAATTGGAGGCGAGCTGTAGAGCAGCTAGTTTATCTAATCCATAATTGATGTTATCCACGCCCTGGGTCGCACGTGGGGAAAAAATTCCCCGGTGGATAGTCGTTTTCTGAAGATGAAACTCGACTACTAAACAAACGTTTAGAGAAAATAAAGGGGGGGTAATTCAACTTGACGATTATCTCAGAAATGGAAAGTACAGCGTCGAAGGGAAGAAACTCTTTTTTTTTAAAT